CCACCGACGCTGAGGCCGGGACCCTGGTCCTTGGCACGCTGCCAGCCGCCACTACCGCGTGTTACGAGCTGACATCATACGCATGGTCGTCGCCACAACCACCGCGGACACGTCGGACCGTAGGCCTGAGGGGCTGGCACGACAACCATCGGCCCGGGCCGGGACTGGCCGGTGCACAGGCGCGGTGGACCCTGGACAGGCTGCTGAGACTGTGTACCAGACATGTGCACTGTGCATAGATCCGAGAAAATGGATCTGGGATCTGACCCCACGGATCCTGATCTCGGATCCGACGGCCGACGGGATCATAGATCCAGCTGTTTAATTTGTCGAGATATCCGTGCGGATCATATATCCGAGTCTTATTTTTTGCTTGAGAACCAGTGAGATCATAGATCCTCATTTATTTTTGTCAACACACAAATCCCCCCCCCCCCCAAATCACATGTTCCAACTCACAAACGTTCTGTTTTAGTGATTTTATGAGATTGCACTTCATAATTTATAGTTTTGTGGCACTTATTGACATATAAACTCTTGGAAACCTGGTTTCAAATGTTTTGCATAGCATGGGATCCACTCAGATCATAAATTCATGTTCTTGGTTAATTGGTTTATCGTCAGATCCTATGAGATCATAGATCCAAGATAATTTTTCACGCCGGATCTGGTGGAATCATAGATCCTAACCTGCTGAGTTTGCTTCGAGATCCGCTGAGATCATAGATCCATCACTCGGATCCATGCACATGTCTGCTGTGTACTATACTATCCACTGTCCAGTGCCGAGACGATTCACCACTCTGAATATTTATCTATATCTGTATTTCTGAAACCACATTCAGTTTACACTGGTTTGAACATGAGTGGATCTGGCTCGAATATATCTGTATCTATCTGTATCTGTATCTGTTTGTGACGCCCTGACGCTGAAGGGTAGCGTCGTCAGGAGGCGCTCGGACTCCGTGACTCAGGGACTCCGTGACTCAGGGACTCCGTGACTCTCGGACTCCGTGACTCCACGTCTGACGACACCCCGCCAGCGAGCTGCTGTGCCGTGAGCGGGGAGCGACACCTCCCCGAGGGACAGTCACGCCGGCCTCTGACGCTAAAAAGTACCGGGTTTCGGCGGGGAGTCCCCGCGCGGGCAGCCGCCCGCAGACGTCTGCCACGTCAGCTCCTCCCCCTCCCCCCCCCCCCCCCCCCAAACACACCGGCCTGAGGGTGCAGAGGCGTCGGCCGGCTCAGCAGTGAGCAGACTTTGTCCGAGCAGGCTAAAACCAACTTAGTCCGAGGAGCGACTGACACGTCGCAAAATCGCTGCGCTGCCATTGGCCAGTGCAAGGCATGTGGTCGTTTGAAAGTCAGCAACTGCAGCGTTGGCTCATGGAACGTCACGGCCGACACAGCCGCAGTGCATGTCACTAGCAGCAGCTGCGGGGCAGTCACAAACAACGCCGTGCATCTGCAACGGAGGGAGCCAGCGGCTATCGTATCGCTCTGCAGGACAAATTCACATACCTACCGTAAGGTGGGGCTATTTGATACGGCATATACTGGTTTTGGCCTCTGTCTTAAAAATGGTTCATATTTCTATACAGCATATAAATTGCAAAAATGTACAGCAGCTACCTTTGTTTTCCTTCGTGCTGATGGCCACATTGAGCTCATGGGGCCAGGACGCATTTTTTTTTTGCTATTGAGAAAAAATGTTGTTTTTTGCTAAAATGTTCTAAAGTACCGTTAACGGGGGTGACTTTGCCATGTTTTCAACTTAAGACTCTTGTATTCTTTAACCTTAACTTATTGGGATGACTCTATGCTTAAAACACGGATGAAGATTAGCTCTTTGGGTTTTGCTAGTTATATCTTGCCGAAAAATATAAATTTTTAAAGAAAATGAGTTGTGGCAAAGTTTAACTGAAAAGGGGTGACTTTGCCACTATGTCAAATAATGTTTTTTAACCCTTGCAAATATTCTTCAAGCAGCAACCATTCTGAATTGTTTGATAGGAAAAAATAAAGCAATTCGAGGTTTTTTTCTCCTAAATGATGTACAACAAAGGAGAGATACATTACCTTTTATAATATATTATATTTGTTGAAAATAATTGACATTTGATAGTAAATAGAAAGTGAAAAATGGTTCAGAATAGATAAATAAGCACAAATGTGATTGTTACGATACTCTAGGACCTTGCCGCTTTCTTCCAGCGGCATTGAAAGGAACAGAAAGAGGCCGTTCTTGCGGCAACTTACCGGCACCCTTATTATCAGCGTTTTGAACTATAGCTAAGTCTATAGCTTTGATCTATAGCTATCTATAGCTACCAGTATAACGCCTTTTGGGGCGACTAACGGAGCGAGCGAGAGGGTGGGCCTTGCACATGCGAAATTTCGAGGGGGTACCTCCAACTGACTTGTGCACGGCACCTTACTAACCGGTCTCTAGCGATGTGCCAAATTTGAGCACAATTGGCCCAGCCGTTCTCGAGATCTGGAAGCGACACCCTGCACGTGCGCACGTGCAAAATGGGTCCCAACTGACTTGCGCACGGCACCCTACTAACTGGTCCCTAACCGTGTACCAAATTTGAGCGCCATCGCCGCTCATACTCAGAAATTTCCGTTAATCTAAGGAAAGACTACGCTCGCTTCGCTCGCTCCGTAATAAAACAGCTATTTTTAGAGTTTTTGCTTTTTGAGGCTAAACCGTTTATCCTATATCAAATCTGAGAGCACATTCCAGAAAGAGCGTTAAAATGGCTATCGAACACTGGTGTGAATTTATATACTTTTGGGGTGGCCCTCGCCCCCCTCCCACCCACCCCAATGCCGGGTTCGGCCTCCTCAATGCTGCTCTCGCCACCTAATGTTTTTCAGATTTACGCACTTCAGCAATACCTATACCTATATCCATGCAACGTTAGAGATTCTTGCTTTCAGTGGCTTCGTGCTCCGACATGCGTTAAATTTCCATGTTCGTCAATTTTTCCTCGATTTGGTATACATTATTTTACTACGGATCAGATCTTACAGATACCTATTACTCAGTGAGCATCTATTTACTGTTATCCCATGGCGAAAGGATGTGTTACACATTGGTTCACGTGTTATCTTGAAAAGTTTATCACTCGATGGATAACTGAGTTGTTAAACATGCGGGAGGGGTTTAACAAATTGGTAAACCCCTTGTTGTGACGTCACATTTCATACAGGGATGGGGTATTGAAATTAAATGTGTTAATTCATTTGAATAACCAAAACAAACATCGGTGATCCATCATATGACGATATGTATTTCAATCACATCGCATCACATTCAAAACATTCGAGTTGCAGGCTGAACAAGCATAACGTTTTAATGGTGACAGTTTTCAAAATCACTATTCAAATCACTCCACTCCTTGTTGTCTAGCGCCCTCGTAACTTATCAGTTACGACTGTACACATAGAATGTACAGCCATTGAAGTTCCCACTGAATCCGCTCGCACCAGTCGACATGCTCTGCGCGTGAACATCTTGCCCCCCATCCGCGCGAGACACAACTTCTGTCCTCTTGACTGGCCCAGCAGGATGGCTCTCTCCTGCGACCACAGCCGACATTCTCTTCTGCATTTTGTCATCGGCTTCGGCGTAGCTCGATAGAGAACTAACACTCTTATGTCCCGTAAGCTGCGCAATGAAATGCGGCGCCACTTGAGCGTCAAGAAGTCGTTTAACGCCGGTCTTGCGGCCGCTGTGGTTGGTAAACCTGTTTCCTTCTAAGCCCGCGTCAATCGCTGTCTCTTTCATCATCTTGCTGAGGCTGCCGTTGCCGAGCGGCTGGTTTTTATACCAGTCTTCTTTGCTCTGGTAGTTGATGGCTAGGTAGAACGCTGGGTGTTCTTTGTTGTGTCTCTTTTCTTCATATAGCTTGAAAAGAGCCACCGCACAGCTTTCGGAACACTGACCCTCACAAGTACAGTATATCTTGGGGGTGAATGGGCGTCCCGGGCATGCACCTTTTCTCGTCTTAGTAGCTCGCCCCTGAAACTCGATGAAGGTCCCTTCAGACGATTCACCGAGCTTCACATCGCCCCATTGCATGTCACGGTGTTCTTGAACACCACGAAGACCGAAGCCAGTGGTAAACTTCCACCAGAGTGCCCGCAAGAGACACTTAGGCGAGTGTTTCCCCATTGCTCCACTAGTCCAAAGTTTCTTCTCATCATCTTCGCTGAGGGGCATTGCACGATTCGGCCGATTTCCCTTTCCTGCTCCCTTCGCAATGGTCACCTTTGCCGACAGACAAGCCCGAAACTTATCATATTCTTTCCCACTCAGATCTGGTTGCGGGTGCTTCACGGCCTTCAGATGTCTCTCCAGCGAATACCTAACGCCGTTGTAAGTAGAAATTTCAAATGGATCGCCATTGTCCTTGTTAAGTTCCATGATAAATTTGCATAGAATTATGTTCAGCTCCCTTGCCGGAATAGTCTCTATCGGTCTAGTCTCATTCTTTCTTTGTAGAAAAGCGTCTAACTTCCGGATATCTGACTTGGTTTTCTTAGTCGTTGCCGCCGGCACCTGATTTTGAATAAACTTGTCAATTCTTTCTTCCACATTTTCATCTGGTTCATCATCATAGTCCAGGAACCCTTGAAACATGTCAAAATTAGGTAACTCCCTTTCATGGTTCATATCGACCCAGAAAGTAGTTAGACCAAGAAGAAGTAGAAATTAATTAGTACAATAAAGTAATCAGACCCCTACTATCAAAAAGTAACGAGAAAGTAATCCAAGGAAGTAATCATGGAAGCTGATAAATATTTTGCAGATGGCTTTGTGAGCTTGTATATTTATTGAAGAACGCGCAACCGCCACGGGATAAAACAATTAAACCACTCGCAGGAAAAAAAAATCATTTAAACGTCTCGCCTGCGGCTCGACCTTGTTTTTGTTATGGGCAGCACCACTCATCCGCTCTCTCAAGAACATCCCGGGTTGTTCGCCATTTATGTACGCGGACGACACGGCAGCACTGTGCTCAGGCGCGGACATCCAGACGGCCAAGCGGCGCGCCCAGCTGGCAGCCGACTCCCTCGTCGAGTGGGCAAGGTCGTCGAAGATGGTGGTCGCCGGACCAAAGACGCAGGTGATGGTCCTCTCGCAGTGGGCCAGGGACGCAGTGGACCTCTCCATCAAGGTGGCCGGAGTGACAGTGAAGGCGCGAGACACACTCAACCTGCTCGGTGTGACGCTAGATCGCCTCCTACACTTCGGTCAGCACTGCAAGAAACTGAAGCAACGAACCCGGCCGAGGCTCGCCCACCTGCGGCGCCTGACTGGACGGGACTGGGGCCTGGAGGAGAAGCAGCTCCGCACGGTAGCCAATGGCTACGTACGAGGAGCGTTGGAGCACGCGGCGGAAGCTTGGCTCCCTTCAACCCCACCGTCCCACGTCGAGGTGTTGGAACGCGAGATGAGGGCTGCAGCCCGGATCATTACGGGCTGCGTCGCGTCGACCCCGACACACGCGCTGATGGCGGAAGCGGGCCTCGCCCCGGTGGCCTCAAGAAGGACCACGCTAGCTGCTCGACTGCTGGCGAAGGCGCGAGCCCTCCCAGAAGAGGACCCCCTCCGGCGTGTCGCGGACAGCACGGCAGCGAAGCGGCTGACGACGGTGACAGGCTGGAGAGAAGTGGGACAGGTGGCGTGGACGGAGGCTGGAGTGGAGGCGAGGATGGAGCCCATCCTTCAGCCCCGTACCCCACCGTGGCTGCGACCCGCGCCGGTCACCTTTGACCTGGAGGCCGGGACGCGCCCACCACCTGGATCGCCCGCTGATCGCCGAAGACAAGAGGCTGCCCTCTGTCTGGCCTCCCTCCCCCAGTGTGCCACCTGGGTGTGGACGGACGGTTCAGCGGAGGAGGGCTTCAGGGACGGCGGCGCTGGAGCACTCATCGTGTGGCCGGACGACTCAACAGAAGAGCTCCGTGCCCCGGCCGGTAGTTTGTGTAGCAGCTACCGGGCCGAGATGGTAGCCCTCCGCACGGCCCTGAGACACCTCTTAGAACACCCGGCTCACGAAGATGTCCCCATCGTCATATGCACAGACTCCCAAGCTGCCCTGGCGGCCCTCAGAAGCGGCCCTTCTGAGCAACGGACCCAGCTCAACAGCGAAGTCTGGGATGCCCTCACCCTCCTGACAAGAGAGGGTGCTCGTCGGCTCCACCTTCAATGGGTCCCTTCCCACTGCGGTCTAGAAGGGAACGAGCGGGCCGACGTCCTGGCCAAGGAGGCGTCGGCGCTCCCGCAGGAAGAGGTCCCTCTCGATGTGAGGACCGTGTTGAGGGCGTCCGCCAGAGCAGCGAGGGCAAAAATCGGCAGACAACGCCCCAGCGGGTGGTACCGGGATCTGTGGGGCGAACGCCTGCCTCCACCTGCGGCTGATCTGGACCGCCACGCGGCTGTAGAGGTGCACCAGCTGCGGGCGGGCCACTGGTCGGGCTCCGCCCAGTATATGCACAGGATCGGCCGTAACCCAACGGTGGAGTGCCCTGGCTGTAATGACCATGGATGCCGGGCGGGACGGTGTCCGGTGTGTCGGGAGGAGGCGGACACGCCCGGACATGTTCTGCTGCGATGCCCTGCCCTGATGAACCTGAGGTTCCGCCTGCTGGGCACCATTCACCCGTCACACGAGGAGATTCGGAGCGCGGACGTCGTCGCGGCCCTGGCGGCCGCGACCAGACGACTTCAAAGCCGAGAGGCTTCGCGGCAGTGATCCTGCCGCCGAGGGGAATCAACAACAACAACAACAACGTTTAAATGATTTTTATTCCTGCTCGTGGTTTAATATATATTAACGCCAGACCCCTTGAGACCCTAATTTTTCGCGATTATTTTTAAATGCATGGAAGAATTTCAACCAAGCTCAGGACATGGCCGTTTCAAGACCTGCCGAAACTTTTACAATTCAGATATTTTGTCGCCATTTCAATATTTCAGGCACTTCTCATTGACTCGTAATGTTAAATTTCGAGCAAGATTTTCACCCGGCGTGTAGAGGGTATCACCAGTCAGTCTGTGATACGTTATAACGTCACAGCTAAGCCCCGCCTCTGTGGTCTTGGCCTGCGGCGGTTTCGGGCCGGCGCGCGGTCACTCGCGCTGTGGCGGGGAGCGGGGACGGTCGAGCGGTGCCGAAAGCCGGCGGAGTTGTGCGTAACGTTTTGTCTGACAGTGCCCAAAGAGCGACATGCTGACTGAGGAGCCAGAAATGCTCAATGCGCATTGCTTGAACAATGCTGATATGTTCGCTGGTATTTGTTTTATTTTTTTATAGGCTGCAAATGACGGGCAGATGGCATATATGTAACTGACATAAGGTTAGGAAATATTCACCTGTATTTAAAGCCTATGGCTTTGCAGATAATGCGATAATGGGATGTCGGATGTCATCAAGTAGCTCCTGATTTGTACATCGCTATGCACCCATCGACCAGCGCAATAATTAGCTAATTACCTTCGCTTCACATCATAAGGCTCGCTCGTATTTCACCAAACAGATATCCTACATCGAAAATCGTATTAGTTAGGAATCGTTAACGTTTGTACGAAACATGTGTGAGTAGTAGATTGAGGAGTGATGGTCCTCTTGGTCCCGTATACACAGAGGCGGATCCAGCTCAGAGTTTGGGGGGGGGGGGGGGGGCACACCATAACAATTTATCGATTCTTTCCATGCATCGTCCATAGGCGTAATGTTAAAATTATGCCGTTTGGGGGGGGCAAATGCCCATTTCCCCCCCCCCTGGATCCGCCACTGCGTATACAAGAGTCAACAAGAGCATGACATTTACTTGACCGTCTGCTGCGCTGCAATTGATTCATAGCACGTGAAACGTCAGCGAAATTCATAGTCCTTTACAGATGGCAGGGGTGTCGTTTGTACAGAGGTCGCTGATGGGCACGGGTCAATTTCGCAGTCGTGGGCGGAGCCTAATGTCATATGACGTATGAAAGCCTCTATCCAGGATGGAAAAACAGTTAACATTACGAGTCAATGACAAGTGCCACAAATATTTAAGTGACGACAAAATGTATTTGAAGAAAAAGTTTCGGCAGGTCTTGAAACGGCTATTTCCTAAATCTGGTTGAAATTACTCCACGCATTTAAAAATAATCGCGAAAAATTAGGGTCTCAAGGGGTCTGGCGTTAACAGTAGTTCGCCTGTGCAGAGGCTTTCTCCGCTAATGTTTATTTTATTTTATTTTATTTTTTTCCTGTACCTCAAAATAAAGTAGCCGAAATCTGAGGAGAAAAAAATGGGGTAGGTAGGTTGGCGAGATCTGCAAGTCTCGCCCCCCCCCCCCCCCCCCCCACCACCATTTTCATAAATTGACACCGTCGCTATCGAATGCGCTTTTCTGCGGCGCTGTAGCACTATTGGTTCCCGAGTTATGCGCTGGTGTTTCGAAAAATGTTGAAATAGGCAACATTTTACCATTGATGACATCTGGTGACCTCACTTTTGACCTGACATAAAAATTGACTGAAGTATAATTTGTGGTCCTGGTTTTGGACGCCCCGTCGCCTGCCGCTTACCGCGTGTCGCTATGTGGCCCATGTAGTCTAGTTTTTTTAGTTTTTTTTTTATAAATTTAGTCCGAATGGTTGAATGGATGGATTTGAGGAATCAGAGCCCGCACTAAGCATAGCTTGTTGTGCCGACCCTGACCCCACCACCCGATCGCGCAATTCCGGTTGTATGGCAGAATTTTGTCCGAACGTTTAACCCGGCAGGCGGTGGGCCTACCAGCCACCTTCCGCGCGGTGGGGGGGGGGGCACTTTTTTGCCCCCCCGTATCTCCGAAACTACTGGACGGATCCGGAAAATTCAAACGGCGTTCGATAGCCCTGTCAAATTTGTCGCAGGAAACCAAATTTCATTGACCTCGGGGTCACCGATGACGTCACAGGTCAGGTCAAAGATAAAATGTTTCACCGTTCACGGGGCTTCTAGGGAAAGCGCTATAACACCGAGTAAAACGCATTTTGTCGAAAATCAGCGATAAGGCGTCAGTTGTCTAGTACATATGTTGCTATTAGAGGTCACTGGTCATACCAGGTCAGGTCACAGGTCAGGTCACCAAAGGTCACCAATGGTCACCACATGAGCCCAACTTCACTAAGTTTATGCGATGCATGTTTTATGGCCAGTTTTTCATTTCCAACTCAATGGTGTTGGTTATAAGACCATCAGGTACGGTTTAGGTCACTTTCTGGTGGAGGTCAGGTCAAGGTCAGGTCAAAAAAGGTCAAATTTCAAAGTTGATATTTTTGCATCAAATGGGTATCGATTCGATGCAGCTCGTCACGGGGAGTCTAATGGTGGTCTTTGTTTTGCGCTACGAGGTCTAGAATTGCTAAAAATTGAGTTTGAAAATTTGACGTCATCAATTTTGAACAGTTTTTTCGCTATAACTTGGCCAAAAAAAGAGGTATCGATCTCAAATTTGGTATGTAGATAGAAGGTGGTAGGGGCTATCACATATATTCCGGTTTTTCGAAATTCAAAAAACCTTTTGGATTTTTAGGCTATTATATTCAAAAAATCTATTTTTTGATTTTTGGGGGTCAAAATCTAAAAAATTCGAAAAACCGAAATAACAGTTTTGTAGCCCTCTTAATTCCACACCTCTTATGTCTGAAACATTTTTCTGTATCTCTAAAGCTGTAGGCCTGACAGCTCTTCCCGCGAAACCTTTTTTTGGGTCAAAAATGGCAAAAATGACGTCACTCTGACGTCAATAGCGGCCAACCTATCATAGCCTTTGGAAAAATTTTTGGTCACCATGTGCGCTAGCTGTTCCCGGGAGGGTACTGAAAGTTTGGTGACGATCGGCGCAGCGGTTCTCGAGATATATCGAAAAAACTAAAGGGGGGGCAAAAAATGCCCCCCCCCACCGCCTGGAAGGTTAACGTGCCCTCACGACTGGACACGGCCCCCTCCGCTCACTCACGGAGTGAGCGGAGTTACGCCCCCCCCCCCCCAGCACGACACAGAAAACTCAGACCACGAGCACGGCGCGGGTTAAAGTTGGCAAAATTTGACCTTTGATGACCTTGAATGGCATGAATGGCCTTTGACCTAAACTAAACATTGACTAAAGTGTTTTTCTCGTGATTTTTTAACCCGCGCCCTGCTGGGGGGTGTTTGAACACCCCCCTTGTGGTTTTTCGCGAATATCTCAAAAACGGCGGCGCTCTGCGCCGCCGTTTTTGGTACACCTTATCATACATCAATTCTACACATGTGAATATTTCAGACCAAGGTCATTCAAGGTCAGGTCACCAGGTCACTTGAAGTGACCTCACCTGATAAAAAGTTCCAATGTCTGTCATAGCTACACCGAATGACCGATCGCTTTGAAACTTTCAGCGATTGCTAAGAGCAAGAGCATGTACAAAATGTATGTCTCATAATTTTGATATCGATGACCTAAGGTCAGGTCAATTTTGCGACCTCCCCATTATAAGTCAATGGGAGAAAATTGAAATGCGCCTCTTTTGGACGAAAGACATTATAAACACACCCAAACACCGAATTACAAGTGGTTTAGACACACTGAACATGAAAATGGTGTCCGTGACCCTTGTTTATGCCCTGAGGTCATCTTAGGTCACGAATAGTATCTAACAGTTTTTCGCAAATAACTTTTGATAGAGGCATGCTAGAGCGATGAAAACTCCTTAGATGTGTTCAGCTCGACGATACGGATCGACTGATATGCAAGATGACCCTTTCCGGTCAGGTCATGACCTTGACCTGAGGTCAAATTTTCAAGTTGACCTTTCAAGGTCAAGTTATAGTGCATTCGATGCGTCTTGACGAGAGGAACACGATGCCGGTAAAAGTAAGCTCGTACAGGGCTTGGGTCAAAAGTTATTGCACAAAAACTGTTTCCGAAAAAATCGGCTATTTTTGCAGTTTTTGCCCCCTGCAGGCAAAACCGTTGACGTTGGTCAAATCTGAGAGAATTACCCAGAAAGGGCGTTAATAGGGCTATCGAATGCGCTTTTCCGCGGCGCTGTAGCTCTATTGGTTCCCGAGTTATGCGTTGGCTTCTTGGAAATTTTCGACATTCGACCTGGAAATCGGCGAAATTTTGCCTTCAATGACATCTGGTGACCTGACCAAAAAATTGACAGAAGTGAGTTCGTCATTATTTTTGACGCTCTTTCGATTGCCGCCTTCCTCGTATCGCTACGTGGCCCAGGAGCCGAGTTACAAGGGGGGTGTTCAAACACCCCCCCCCCCAGCAGGGCGTGGAAATGCAGGACCCCCAGCCGGGCGCGGGTTAACGTTCACTCGAACGCTGCCGACCCCGACCGCGAGTCACTGCGGCTGAGGCGCTGACTTGTAATCGGCCCAGCGTGGGGTAATAGTGATTTCAGTCATTCAGTCAAAAGTCAACAGTCATTTTCTGCAGCTAAGCCCAGTCCATTGCTGTCAAGTCTTGTCTGCGACATCTATAAGATTGGACTGAACCGATTCGAAGGGGCGGAATGGACATAAAAACCGCATCAATGTGTTACGATCGGGCCACCACCCCGGCGCAGTTCGGAATGCCGGTGCTACAATCCGAAACCTCCAGCTAGATCGGCCCGAGTATGCAAAACAACGTATCGCTCCGCCAGGCGACACCGGCGCTGTCATGCAAAATAGCGCTGCCATGCAAAATAGCCAGCGGAGGGTGCAAGCCGGCTGGATGCCTTCA